GGGGGGGGCGGGAGAAATTCCAGCACATCCTGAAAAATGTTTTATTATTCTGATTACTTTTTAAAGGTGTGTGTGTGGGCACGCATATGCCTCTGTGTGTGTGTGTGTGTGTGTGTGTGTGTGTGTGTGTGTGTGTGTGTGTGCATGTGTGAGTTTGTAGAGGACATAGTGGGTGTTGGATCTCCAGGAGTGGGATTATAGGTGATGGCATGATGTGGATGCTGGGAACAGAATTTAGATTCTCTTGAAGAGCAGCAAGTGCTCATATCTACTGAGCCATCTCCCTAGCCCCCATTAGTACTGATGATGCTAGCAGGATGATTGTGATCTGTCATAACAGCAATAGGAAATCAGCTCTAAGAAAGTCTCCTGTTCTAATCTGATCATGCTTTAAGGACCAGAGAGAGAATTCCGTGGCTGCTGCACTCAGCCTTGTGGCTAGTCTTAATTTATGGATTCCCCTCCCCATACATTATCTCCAGGGAACAACTGCAATAAATAGAAATCATTTGATAGAATACTTTGTATATCTTGTCCAATTTTACATGATCTACCATTGAAAACCAGTGTTCTAGGGCACCATTTTTACTCTTAACACACAGCAATGGCTGGGTTGGATAGAACATCTTGTCTGCTTCATGCTTGGTCCTTCTTTTGTATGCTTTGGTTTAAATGGACTACAAAGTCAGGGGAATAAGAACATTTCACAAAGTCTGTTGGAGTGGAGAGCCGATAGGATGCAAAAATTATCAGCCTAGAGTCTTTATATTTTCATTGCATGGTGTCTTTAATAAGTGGAGCAGAATGTGCTACTGAAGGAGGCTGTGGACATATTGGCTTACCCATTGTTGAACATGATGTTGAGACCCTGTGGTCTATTTATGACCTTCAGGTGCTGGTGGTCATGTACGAGGAGCAGCAGGTGGCAATTGACTTCAGGAGATCGGCCCACCAGGAAGCAAAACTCTGATGTGTGAATCTCAGATAGACAAGGCTCCCAAGTGCTTTGGTTGCAGAATGCCTCTTGCAACTGCTGTGTCTTTACATGTCTGTCACTGCCATTTTTCTCTGGTATCTGTCACGGTGTGAATGGGTGTGGGGACATCCCCACTGCCCTTAATGTAGAATGATTATCTCTTGGAAATATCCCATTCTACTGGGCATTTACTTGTGGATTATCACGAAGGTGATTTCCTTTTAAGCTGTACTGTTGAAAGTGTTACCCCCTGCCCTGATAAAACAGTAGCCACAGAGGATAGAAAATAGGGAACTGTCACATAGCTAGTTTCTCTTGAGGAGCCATATAGACTGCGGCTTAGGTTAATGATTAAGAAAAGCAGTTGAGCCCCACAAGCTAAGTTAGCTCAAGTTCTTTTATTCTTAATGTTGAGAGATGTGTTCACGGGTTTCAGTGTGCATCATAGCTAAAACTTTAAATAATAATAAGGTTATGTTAATATGTTTTTGTTAATGGCTTTGAGGTAGAAAATCTTGGAAAACAATTTAAAGTTTATAAAGGCACATAGTTGAGTGGGGGACTCATTGAGGTCAAGGATCAAGAAAGAAGCAGCCCAATTATTATTAGTTGATGCATCTTTCTTGCTAGGATGGGTTGGTGATCAAGGGTGATGATTAATTCCTTGTACCCATTTCTGCCCTCAGCTTTCTGATTAAAAAAAAAAATTGATGAATGGGTTTGCACCCTGAGGATTTGAATAGAGTTGACTAATTTTTTTATATATAAAAGATTAGGTTTGTGATTCGTCTAAGATTTCTTATGAGATTACCTTTTGAGACAAATAATAAAATAATTGATCCTTACTTTGTAACCACAAAATGCAGCCTGCCAGTAAAAGAACTAACTGAGAAAAATACCTTGCTTGCTTACACTCTGTTAATCTATAACATGTTGCTTGGATATGAATGTATGTGGATTCCCGGAAATAATTTGTTTTTCACCTGTAATACGTAAAATGTTTAATAATGTAAGGGATATAGAAAACATGTTTTTTTTTTACTTGTATTCACTGTAATATTCACTTAAAAATAGTATGTAAACCACATTGCAATTTTTATATTGCGTGAAAGATTCTGCTGGGGTATATAAGCTGTAAGGGAAAAATAAATGTCAGTTGGAAGGAAGACATCAAGAGAGATAAAAGGGATACATCTAGATAGAGGTAAGAAAAGACGTAAATAACAAAGAGAAAACAGAGAAAGACCCGAAGAGTGTGTGTGTTTTCCCTTTTTCACCAGCTCCAGAGAGTAAAGTTTAGCCTCCTTCACTGGCCCCAGAGAACTAAGCTTTACTCCCTCAGAGAGAAAAGTCAAGTTGAACGATAGTCTGCTGACTCTGTAAGCCCCCCTCACACCCCGAGCTGTCGGAGGCTGGTCCTCACGGCAGTGGTATTCAGGAAGAGAAGTTGTAGCAACATTTCCAACCTATTGCCATTAGGATTTGAGGAGACTGACTTTTCTAAGGTTTAACATTCTTGGATAATTACATCTCATTCTTGCAAGTGCATGGATGGCATGCATCTCTCTTTCTCCTGTACATTAGTTGATTAATTACTTCAAACTGACAAAAAACTTCAAGGGATATTCTTTTGCTGCCTAAACAGTTTAAAACAGTG